GTCTAAGCAGACATTATGGGAAAAAACTGCGCACAATTTGAATTGATGAGATGCTGTAGGGAAACCACTTAAAGATGTGTGTGTGTGTGTGTGTGTGTGTACATATATACACATACACATACATATGTTTGTGTATATTACAGTATATATACACATGTGTATATATCTGTGTATGTGTGTATACACATGCATACATATATACCACATACAAAAATACATACACATATACACACACACATACATAATACATACATATCCATCTCTATCAGTGAAAGAGAAAACACTGGGGACCTGATCAGCTTGGCACGTAGCAGTCAGAAAGGCATGATTTCTTTCCTCAATGGAGACTGTCTGAAGCAGGAACACAAACTAAAGCTTCAGACCAGGGCAGGCTTGAACAGAATGGTGTTGGTCACAGTGTCTTCAAGAAAACACTGAGCAGGCTTCAAGTCCAGAGACTGAAATCAAACTTCCACAAGGTCAAAATTTTTCAAAGGTGACTGATGATAAATCAAAATATTGGCATCCTTTGTTGAAAAAAAATCTGCATATATTATTTGCTGTGACATTTATAATCATAAGAGAATAATAGCAAAATTAGATTCTTCTTTCTGAGACTTTCAGTGGATTTACTGAACATAGATTTCCTAAAAGAGAATTTTTGAGCTGGAAGGAACCTCAAGAGATAATAAAATCATAGCTCTCTAGCTGAAGGGGACCTCAGAGGAAAGTTGGATTTGAGAGTCATCTGGGTGGTTGCCTTCAGGTGACTGGTGGTATTTGGATCATGGCAGTGTGATCTAGTGGGTTTGAATTCTGGTCTTGACACTTAGTAGCTTCACAACCATGAGCAAATCACTTTATCTTATGGGTGTCAGTTTCCCCACTTGTTAGATGGATCCTACCTATCTCACAGAATTGTTGTGAGGAAAGCACGTGGCAAATTACATGTTTTTTATAAATGTTAAGACGTCCCCATTCCTAGGGACCTTTGCATTATCTTATGGGATTTTAATATACAGCTCGATTTTTCTCTTGAAGCTTGAAGCATCTTGGTATTTGACACAGATTGTTTTCTCCAGCCAAACACTGTCCTCACCTGAGCGGGTAGCCCAGCCTCACAGTGCTCAAAAGGTGTGCCAGAGTGAAGGTCTTTGCCTTCCTTCTCTGGGACTTCAGATCATTCTTTCTCCCTCAAACTAGGTTATGTGACAGCCTGGAAAAGGCAGGCCAATTTCCCTGCCTGGATTCAGACAGCCTAGGAGGAGTTGGGAGTCTCTGACACTGAATTGATACGTGGTCTTGGTTGACTGTTTTCACTCTGTGGAGTCGATTTCCTCACCTGTACAACAGGGGCTGGACTAGATCAGCGGTTCTTCAATCACTGATAGATTTCAGGGGGCGATGTAAAATTCAACTTGGATGGGAAAAATTATACCTTCATTTTTATTGACCTTTTTTTATGACCCTATGAATTTTATTTTGTGCATATAAAAACATTATTTTGAGACAGAGTCCATTGGTTTCCCCAGACTGCCAAAGAGGACTAGAACACACACATACAAAACTAAAACTAAGAATTCCTGGACTAGGTCAGAGTCTGTAGAGTGCTGTAGGGTGACCTGAATCAGATTAAAATGCAATTGGTAAATATTTAACACAATAAACAAAAATAAAATAGAATACCGATAACGTAAAAATGTGGATTTCTAAGTCAATATATGGCCCCCTTTCTCTTTGAGTTTGACACCATTGGAATAAATGATGGCTGGGCCCCTTATTCTAAAGTTCTATGATGTCTGTGAGTCTCTGTTTCTTCATCTGTGAAATGGGTATCAGGATTTTTTAACTAGAATGTGCTCTTAAATATTTTTGTTGTTGTTTAGTCATTTCAGTTATGTCTGACTCTTCCTTGACCCCATTTGGGGTTTTCTTGGCAAAGATACTAGAGTGGTTTGCCATTTCCTTTTCCAGCTCATTTTACAGATGAGGAAACTGAGGCAAACAAGATTAAGTGACTTGCCCAGGGTCACACAGCCAGTAAGTATCTAAGGCCAGATATGAACTCAAGAAGATGAGTCTTCCTGACTCCAGGTCCAGCATTCTGTGCACTATGGCCCCACCTAGTTTAAGGTTAAGTAACTTGCCAACTAAAGAGGCAATTGTGATATGGGGGGGAAAAAGTATTGAATTTGGAGTGAGACCTGGGTTTAATTCTGACTGGTTCTGGCTAGTATGTGACTTTGGGCAGTTCTTATCACCACTCTGAACCCCAGTTTCTCCCTCTGCAAAAAGAATAACTGTATTACATTCTTTACCAGGATGTTTTGAAGATCAAATGAAATCATGTAAAATACAATGCTTTATTATTACCTAAGGCTGAGATTTGATTCCAGGTTCTTGGAATCTAAATTTTTCCACTAATTCTTCCCTTCTGGGACTTCCTTCTTCTGTTTAGGGAAACTGGAAAGTCATTCAGGGGTTCTTAACCTGAGATCCATGAACTAGCCAGAAAATATTTGGATGACTGTATTTCAATATGGTTTTTATAGTTTCATAATGTATAGTTTTATAGTTTTAACATAGGTTTCCTTTGTTTTTTTTAATTTAATATATTTTATTTTTTCCCCCAATTACATGTTAAATGTAGATATCCTTTGTAATCCTACAGATAGGGTGTCTCAACTACAGTAAGACTTTTAGGACACTTTGTATTTTATTTTACACTTTTAAAAACAGCATTCCGGGAAAGGGTTCGTTGGCTTCCTCTGACTGCCAAAGGAGTCTGTAACACAAAAAAAGTTAAGAAGCCCTACTGTAGACTGTTCCCTCTAGTGGTACTATTCCTTTCTTCCAATCAGAAAAGACCCTGGTCCCAAATCTCCCAGGCACTTGGCCAATCAGGAAAAAAGGGATTTCCCTAAACAATGCTCTGGGCGTGGCTTCCTTCCAGATAGAACTGAGCAGGGTTAGGAAAACACAGGACTTGGTTTGATTTTCTTTCAAAGCAACAGTTGAAAGATGACATATTTTGAACAGCTTGTTGGAATGAGCCTTCCGGAAACATTGTGAATCCATGAAAAGAGCACCTGCCAGGGAGGCACAAGAGACTTGGGTACTGGTATAACAATAACTTGCTGAGCGACCTTTGGAAAGTTTTTCCGAGCCTCCAATTCCTTATCTTTAAAAACAAAGATCTGGACTAGAAGACTGCAAAGGTGTCTGAATAGGGAAGTAGAATGATACAGGAGAAAGAACGTGCATCTCGGAGTCTTCGATTCCAGGCTTTGCTTTTACTTCTGTTCTGTATCTGCTGTCAAAAGAACTGGGTTTAAATCCTGGCTCTGGGACTTACCACCCATTGGATGGAGCACTGAAGCCTTTTGGGCCTCAGTTTCCTACTCTACAAAATGAGGAGCTTGGGAGGGGAGAGGGGATGATTGCTCAGGTCCCTTCCAGATCAGAGGCAGTGGGCATATTGTAAAGACTATTAGATATAAATTTAAATCTTATCTGCAGAGTGTGGGCAAATCACTTCCCCTCTCTCAATCCATTTCATCTATAAAATAGGGATCAAAATATTTATAAAAACTGCCTCGTAGAATTGTTGTGAGGAAAGAGCTTTGTAAACCTTAAATCTTGATTTGAATTTGTGTTGATACTGCAATACTGGTAGGTAGAGAAGTGTATAGATGAAGCCAAAGAGCTTTATATTTAGCTTTTTTTTTTCCCAGATCCTGCCTCTGACCCTTACTGGTTGTATGATTCTACGCTGACTCACTCAACCTTTCCATACCCCAGAGAACTAAAACTTTAAGATGCAGACTGGTATTGGCAGGACTTTCCTCACCAGGAATCCTCTTGTATCATTTCTGTTCCTGTTCAGTCATACCTGACTCTTTACAACCCCGTTTGGGGTTTTCTTGGCAAAGATACTGCAGTGGTTTGCCATTTCCTTCTCCAGCTCATTTTACAGGTGAGAAAACTGAGACAGAGTTAAGTGACTTGCCCAGCATCATACGGTATGTGTCTGAGGCAGAATTAGAACTCAGTCCTCCCGACTCTAGTCTCAGCTGCTCTATCCACTGTGCCACCTAGCTGGTTCTCAAAATTTTTTTTTTACATCCAGCATCCCTTTGTATGCTTAAAAATTGTTGAGGACCCCTAAGAAGTTTTGTGTATGTGGGTTATATCCATCAATATTAGAAATTAAAGCATTTTTGCATTATTATAAAAATAGTTTTGACCTCACAGACCTCCTGAAAGGGTTTCTGGGACCATAAAGGTCTTGGTTTAAGAGCTATTGCTCTATACCAACGGCCTTTTAGGTCCAGACCAAACAAAATAAAAATGCACGCATGAGAAGGAGCTCACATACTCATCCTCTCAGGGATATGTGAATGAAAATATGAAAAACCACTCAGCCTTTGAGCGGGCTATTATGGCCTTGTAAGGATGGCACACACACCTACAGGGACATAATGCAAATCCCTGCCCGGAAGAATGGGAGTGAAGGTGAGAAAGTGCTCTGGGAACATAAGAAAGGGGTCCATTTTCTTCTGGGTCAAAGTAAGAGGGAGGGGGGAAAACTTCGAGGAGGCAACTGAACTGAATCTCAAAGGAAAAGGCTTTCAGAAGACAGGAATCAGAGAATTCAGGGATAGAAGTCACCTTGTAGTTGTTACAAAAGCTCCATTTTATAAATGAGAAAACTGAGCCTCAGAGAGGGGCCTTGAACTTTGGTTTTCTAACTCCAAATCCAATCTATTTCCATTACAACAAAGTCAAGCACTTGTTTCTTTGGCTTGGCAGTGGAAAGGACAGAAGTCATAGCGTTGGGAATCTGGGAACCGGGAGGAGCTCTTTCCTCACCGCCTCCTCCGCCTTCCGACTACGCGCTTCTCCCAGGCAGCCGAGGAGAAAACCCCCAAAGTAGAGAGTGAATCCTAGAGATGGGTCTGGGGTCAAGAGACTGGGGCAGCGGCGGCATCTGGACTCACCTGTAGGACAACAGTGGGCCGGGGAGTTGACGTCTCCTGCGGGGCAGCCGCCGGGATCAGGGGTCCAAGGCTGCCAGAGAACACTGCCACTGCCGCAGACGGGGTCCTCACTCCAGAGAGCCCCGAAGTGCCTTTTCACGGGCTGCGCAGGGAGCAGCCGATGGGCTGGCAAAGGGGAGGTGGGTGGCTGGGGGTGGGGGTGGAGGTGGAGTCTATTTATAAACGCTGCAATGCCAGCGGGAGTTCCAGGCTCCTTTTATAGGTAGTTAAATCTTAACCTTAGAAGAAGGACGCCGCTGAACTCCGGGGAGAAACGGAGATCTTTCCTGTCTTTTCTTTTTCTTCTTTTTCCCTCGAGGGAATAGAGGGGTAGAATTAGGGATCCAGGGGCAGAGGAAAGGGAGAATATGAAAACAGCCCTGGTTTTGGAGCCAGAAGTCTCAGCTCAGCCAGTCACCAGCAAGCCCTGGATTCACTAGACAAGGCGACATTGGGCAAATCATTTTCCACTCTGGGACTCCCTTGAACTAAATAACATTCCAGTCCTGAATTTCAGAATAGCAGGCTGCCACCAATTCTCCGTGCCCTTCACTTCTACCCATTCTCTCTCTGCTCCCCACCTTAGGGGACCGAGCACATCATCCTAAATCTCATCATAGCATCGAATTTATACAGGTTGTCCCAAAAGTCTTAGTGCCGTTTTAAAGCTAATAGTTTAAAAACTAAAACTTAAAGCTAATAGCTTTTAAAAAACGGTCCTAATGATGGGGGCGGGGCCCAAGCCAAGATCTTCGCCCTTTGCCCCAAAGGGAATCTGACTCACAGGCCCCAGACCCTCATCTCCCTTGAAAGCCCTAGCTTACCTTTAGATCTTATTCAGATGCACCTGCGACCCTTGCCCTGAATAGAATCTGGCTCCTGTTTGTCTACGGACCCAGAAAACCCTTAAACCTTCAACTTTCCTAATCGATTCCCCTCATCTCCCTTTGAAAGCCTTAGGCTCCCTTTTGTCTATGAGGCCCCAGAAAGGCCTTCCTTCATCTCCTTTTGAAAGTCCTGGCCCCACCTTGGTTTTGTGCAGATGCCTTTCAAACTTCTGCCTTCCTGTTCCCTCCATTATCTATTCCCATTGTCTGTTCAATCTCTCTGACCTCCCCAATTAGAATTCTTACCTAGACTCATTTCCCAACCCCCTTCTCTGGCCACCCAAAGTTACTTTAGTATTTAAGATCCACCTTGGCCCTCATTCAGATGCTGAGAATCTCATGCTCAAAAGGCTGAGAACCTCTCATGCCCGCTCGTCTTTATGGGGCGTCACCCGGCTGAGAATCTCTCGTGCCCCAAAGGCTGAGCCTTTCTCATGCCCGCCTGTCCTTATGGGCGTCACCTGGTCAATGTGATTTATCACTAATAAACTTTTCCTCTGGCTGAAGAAGATTTGAGTTGAATTCATTCAGCAGGGCCTGGTACCACGATCTTGGGGTCCCGGCACCCCAAAACCCCTAGACCTCTTCACTTGGACTTTGGTACAACCGGTTTAACATTTGAAAGTCTTGTAAAGGGTGTTCCTCCCAAGCAACCCAGTGAGATAGGCTTAGCACCGAGCCTGACACATAGTAGGTGCTTAATAAATGTTTATTGATTGATTAAAATGTTATTCTTATTTTATAGATGAGGAAATTAAGGTCCAGCAAAGATGAATATCATGTTGAACATCACACAGTTAGTAGAGTTGTGCATTTTCCTCTGACTCCAAATCTTCTCCCTAACTGCAAAGCTAACTCCAGTGGAGTATAATGATTTTTTTCCTGTACTAGTCAGGAAACTTGGGTTTGAGTGGTAGAAAAAATTGGAGTCTGAAGAGACCTACATTTGAATCTGCCCTCCAACGCTTTCTGGTTCCATGACTATGGACAAAGTCACTTAACCTTTCGGAGCCTCAGTGGCCTCATCTGTAAAATGGGAATAATAATATATGCTGAATTATCTCACAGGTGGGATTTCAGTATCGGTCTTGGTGACTCTCAAGTCCTAACATTTTTTAAGTGTTATTTTTTGCATCATCCCTTTCTAACGCATCTGCTCCTCCCCCCATCCCTTGAAAAAAAGGGGTATATTTAAGCAAAACACAAGAACATTTTTCCGTATCTGACAATATACTGTGTATTCCATTTTGTTAAAAAAAATGTTTAACACAGTTATGGCACATAGTAGGCACTATTTAAATGTTTATTCCCTTCCCCCTCACTTCCAAAGGGAGCAGGTATGTTTCGCCATCAGTCCTCTGGAATGAAAATTGATCAATATATTGATCAGAGTTCAGATACTGTTTCAATGTTGTTTTCCTCTTACACAGAGGTGTGCAGAGATGGTGGCCACCCACCTAGCCCCGTCTGGCCCATCCCCCATGCCACCCAAAGCAGAGATTTTACTGTTGTGGTTATTGTGTAAGTTATTCTCTTGGTGCTGCTCACTTCACTCTGCATGTCTGAAACTTACCCTTGCTTGGCACTGTCAGCATCAGCATCATTATCATTATTACTTTGAGTCCTTAGCCTGCTCTTAACTCAGTGTGCACCATTAGATAAATCATTTTACCCTCTCAGGGCCACAATTTCCATATTTATCAGATGGGGATAATAACACCTCTCCAAACTGTTTCACAGGGTTGTGAGAATCAAGTAATACAATGAAAGTGAAAATGCTTTTAAATGCTACCCAAATGTGAGGTGATATTATTCAGACCTTGGAACTTCCTGGTCTGAATTCTTGCAAATTGACAGATACTTTAACATAGCAAGTACTTTACATCTATCAAGTCATTTAATAACTCACAACCAAATAACGTGAGTACAGCAGATGTTATTTTCTCCATTTCATAAAAAGGGAAACTGAGGCACAGAGAGGAGTCAGTGATTTGCCTCAAATCATGTGTCTTGTGCTTTTTCTGTTATACCAGGTGGCCTATTCTATGGCATTTATCCAATAATAACTGGTGTTATAGTCATTTGTTTTCTTATCTTATCCTCATTCCTACATTCCAAGCTTCTAACAGGGGTGGGGAAACTGTGGCGTTCTAGGTCCTCAGGTGCAGCCTTTTGACTGAGTCCAAGGTTTACAGAACAAATCCTTTTATTAAAGGGATTTGTTCTATGAAGTTTGGATTCAGGGCTTTGTACTGAACTCAGCAAAGACTAGTAATTTTTTTCATAGTACCACATGATTGAGAGCTAGAATTAACTTAAGCAATCATCTGGGGAAAGCATCGGGGTCTGGTGAACAAATCCTAAGTGTGGAATCTCAGGAAAGACCTAGGTTCAAACCCTGGTTCCATTACTCACCAGCAGTGTGACTATGGGCAAAACACTTGAGTCTCAGTCTCCTCATCTGTGAGAAGGGAATGATGATATCTTTAGCACCTACCTCACAGGGTTGTCAAGGGACTCCAATCAGAAGCTTTGCAAACTTGCATGTCAGTTATTATTAGGACTGCTCTCTTATTTTAAAGATGGAGATGTTGGAGCCTCCACCAGTAATTGGAGCCTCCAGTAATTGGGTAATTACTTGCCTAACTCAGACTGGAACTCAGACCTAATGGCTAAAACATGAATGCTTTTTCTTATACTCATGTTCCTGTGACCTCAGATTCTTCTGACTCCAGAGGAAAGAATCTAACAGCCCCGATACAGGGTTTAAACCTCAGAGCAAGGTAACTCAAACAAGTGAGCCATGATCCCATAATGCCAAGGCCTGCAAGACAGAATTGCTGGGTCCTTCTCCAACCCTCTTCCCCAACCAAAAAATGTAGTCCCCACACTAGCTCACCGGCAAATGACCCGCAGCTCTGGGGAAGCTGTCTGCAACAAAATGTTCAAGGTCAGATTTCCTGAGGAGGGTGGGAGGAACCAGATGAAAGGCAATCATTTGCTTCTCTCCCTGCCAGATCTCCACCTGACACTTATGAAACCCAACAGATGTCCCCGAATGATATCTGCCCCATCCAAGAGGGGATGAATTCTTGACACCCCTTTGAGTCGACAAATCTGGGATATATATTTTTTTCTGGGATTCCATTTGACAGCTGTCTACTTTCTGTCCACAGTTTGCCCCTGTATTCTTTTAGACAGCTGTCCACAGTTCACTCTTTTCAGTGCTTTCTGGTCTTCTGATTATATCTCAGAGAGTCTCTGTTACAATGCTCCTGAGCTTTAACACCCACTAAATCTTATAGGATCATAACAACATGGGATTTAGAGCTGGGAGGACATAAAGCTGGACTCAAACATCCTTATTTTATAGAGCAAAGGAATAGAGCTAGAAGGGACCTCAGGGGCTGTCTCAAACACCCCTCATTTTACAGATTTCAAAACTCAGATCCGTGGAGGTTAAATTACTTGCTCAAGGTCACACAAGTAATAAGCATCAGATGGGAGGTTTGAGCCCTGGTTTGTCTGACTCTCTAGCCAGTGTCATTACACTTCTTCAATTACAAGCCACCTGCATTGCAAGAAGAAAGGGCAATTTAGCCAGTAAATAGTAGAGTTAGGATTTAAACTAGAACTTAAGACTCCAGATCTAATTCTCTCTGCTACACTGGCTCCTCTTTCAATAAGGAAAATATAGTCAAACTGACCAGGTGTCTCTTAGGGCATCTAGGTGGTGCAGTGGAGAGAGAACTGGACGTGGAGATGGGAAAATCTGAGTTCAAATCCAGCCTCAGACACTTGCTGTGATCCTGGAGAAGTCACTTAACTGCTGCCAGCCTCAGTTTCTTCATCTGTAAAAATGGGTATAATAATAGCACTCACTTTCCAGGCTTGTTGTGAGGATCAACAAGATGACAGAGGTTAAGCTAAAAGGTGCTTTAAATGTTCTAGCTACTTTCTCTATTCCCATCACTACAACCCTATTTACAGGCACTTCCATCACTCATCTGGACTGTTACATCCTCATGTATCCAGAATTTAAGGCCCTCTGTACCCCCAAACTAGCACCACCTGACCTTTTCATCCTTAGCTCAGACTGGTCTCTTGCACACATTCTATACTCTAGCCAAGCCAGACAATCCTCTGTTCACAAACAGCTCCCAAAGTCTCCCTTTTCAACTCTGTAATTCCTGCTCAGGCCAGCTGAAGTTCCACTTCTTCCGTGAAGCTTACTTAGATTTTTCCTGGTTGGCAATGATTGACTTTTC